GGTCCCTGTCGACAGACTTTCCCAGTGCAATACATGTCCTGCTTGCTGGTATCAAGTGCAATGATTATGGATCTTAGAAAATGAAGTAAGCGAAATCGACAGTTTCAGTCTTTTCTCCATCTGTCATGACGTACATTGGTGCAGTGGTGAGAGTTTTTGGTTTTCTTGACATTTTTTTTTTTAATTTTTGTTTGTTTGTTTTGTTTTTCTTGACATTTTTTTGGCATTGAGATGCAATCCATGTTAGAGACCATATTGTTTGATCTTCTGCAGCAAATGTTTCAATTCCTTCTCACTTTCAGCAAGCAAGGTTGGGTCATCCACATAATGAAGGTTGTTGGTAAGTTTTCCTTCAATGCTGATTCCACATTCTTCTTCATGAAGTCCAACTTCCTGAATCATTTCCCCAGCATACAAATTGAATAGTTATGGAGCAACTATGTCACCTTGACACACATCTTTCTTAATTCTAAACCATGTAATGTTCCCTTGTTCTGTTCATACAATAGCGTCTTGATCTAGGTGTAGATTTCACGTGAGCACAAGTAAGTGCTCTGGCCTCCACTAGCAAGTATAGTGAGTCTTTCCACCTTCTTCCACATGCTGTTGTCCAAGAAGGAGCCTGGTCACCAACCCCCATCCCACGTGTAACTCTTGACTCTCCGGCTATCTGGAGCAAACTCATGACTTCATTTCTCATTTATGGGTCTGCATTTTTTCTATTTCACAGACCTGCTTACCTCGCTTTGGAAGCCAGATCTACCCTATTCATTTCCTCTTTGCATGTTTTAGCTGTGAGGTTGGTATGTGTCTGGGACAGAGCTCACTGGTCGAATGTGACTATGCATGTATCCACTTCTACATTGCTGTTTTCATTTTCTTTCCACCAGTGTGATCAGTGACCGACCTGGATATCATGCCTGAGGGTATTCCTAAGTTCACGATTATTCAAACATGTGGTATGTCTCAAAAACTTGGCACCCTAGTTTCCAGCCTGCAAAACTTGTTGAACCATTTCATTAACTTTTGTTTTGTTCCCTCAGACTCTGTCTTAATTTCTCTGTAGTCATGCAGATTACCTGGGGAAGGAAACGCATCTTTCCTGAACCGCTATTTGTCTTTGACACTGCGTTTTTCTCAATCATATATAAACTGTTCTGTAAGCTGTCTGTTTGCCAAAAACTGTATGTAAATTATGCTTTAAATGTAAGAACTGTGTAACTTTGAACTAGAAATATGTTAAATAGATTAATACCTAATCCAAGTATAAAAAGCAAAACCATGTGTAGATGGGGAGACAATTTTTGAGATAATTCTCTCTGCAATAAAGTGCTTTGGATATTGCAATCCACCCGTCTTATTGGCAGGTGACTATGGAAAGAACGCCTTGTGTTCACTCATATCACCATGGCAATGTAATTGGTCAAATGGAGCAATGATTATGAGTATGACATGGGACCTAGGACTGTTTCACTCTGTCCAGCACCAATTATCCTAAACAAGCACTTAACACTACCAACACCCTAGCCAATGGTAATGAATGGTAGTTGTTATGTACCCTGGAATCTGAACCAACTGCCTGGGTCAGCTCCACGGTGCTGTTAGTCAGGGCTCAGTGCCACGAAGATACCTCAAAAGTGAGTTGTCCTAGGCTCACTGAAAATTATGACCAATGATAAAGGAATGTATCTCAAAAAAAAGGTCAGAATACTAACATACAATTCATTTATTAAAATCCAAGAACAACAGAGCTCAATTATTTAAAGCTAGTAGAAACGTCTCATGTATGCTAAGGTATTTTCTCAACCAAATAGAGTCTGTTTGCTTTTCTGGTTGTAACTGTTCCACAGTCCTTCTGGAAGATCCATTTCTTTCTTCACCTTCACTTCCCTTCAAAGAACCTGGATGCTGTTGTCTTCTCTTTCACAAGTGTTTTTCATTTGAAATAACGTTGTATGCCATTTCTTAATTTCCATAGCATATTTTATTAGGGGAAAAATGTGAATGCAAAACTAAGATTGATAATTTTGAGAAAGAGGAACTCTTCTATTTTCTCTTTCATTTCCCTTTTAGAGTTTTAATTATAGTATAATACATACATACTTTAGAGAATTTTATGAAATTTCTTGAACATCCTTTGGGTAGGCAAATTCAGCTTCTATTTTTCTTTATGACAGTAGACTAAAGCATGCTAAATAAACTTCTATAGTGTTTGATAGTTGATTTACAACCACTTTTTATTTCTTTATTAAAATAGTTTTCCTTTAATAGAGTAAGGTTTGTAGAAATGTACAGATATTGTGGAGATAAAGAGGTCAAGGAAATGGTTAAATATAAAATCTTTTTCTCAGTTGAACGGATTACCAGAGTAATAAGTGACTTTGTTGTTGTTGTTGTTGTTGTTGTTGTGTACCATCACGTAGGAACTGACTCAGAGCTCAACATCCAGTGGGTTTTCAGAGGCAGGAAATCTCTCAGAAGGAGACTGCCATCTTTATTCCATAAGGCAACTGATGGATTTGAACTACATGCTTTAGGGATTGTGGTTTAGTTTCTTTCCACTAGGCCACCAGAGCTCCCTAATAACCAAGTAGAGGATTTTTTTTTATTTTAGAACTACGGAAAATAATGCTTTGAAAGATAGAAAAAAAATCAGCTTATTTTCTTCATTTCCCAGAAGTATTATGATGTGGAGTGTTAACAGTATATAAAAAAATTAAGAAAAAAAATCTAAAAATGTAGAATAATAACATAATGTCATCATTGGTTATTCATGAGAAATGATGAAAACAAGAAAATGCAAAGGACACTAAAGTTATTGTTTTATAAAAAAAGAGAAGAAATAGATGTTACCATCCTACATGTACATGCCTGTGTTAGGCAGATGACACAACCCTGCTTGCCAAAACTGAGGAGGACTTGAAGCGTTTGCTACAGAAAATAAAGGACTGCAGGCTTCAGTGTGAATTACATCTCAATATCAAGAATACAAAGATCTTCACCACTGGGCTAATACCTATCATGATAGATAGATAGATGGAGAAAAGATTGAGATTGTCAACAATTTCAAATTGCTCAGATCCACATCAACACTCTTGGTACCAGCAGTCAGGAAATTAAGAGATCATTTGCAATGAGAAAATCTGCTGTCAGGGACCTGTCTGGAGTACTGAACAGTTACAATGTCAATGTAAAGACTAAGGTGCACCTGATCCAACCCATGGTCTTTGTGATTACTTGCTATGCATCAGAGACAATGACTGAGGATGACAGAAGAATTGATGCCTTTGAGATGTGGTGGAGAACAGTATTGAGCATTCCATGGACTGCCAAGAGAACCAACAGGTCTGTTCCGGAGAGGGTGAAATCAGGCTGCTCCTTGAAGGCAAGGATTTCGAAGCTCTGCCTCCTGTACTTTGAGCATGTTGCCAGAAGGGACCAGTCCTTGGAGAAGGGCATCATGCTTAGACGAAGAGGATCAGCATAAGAGAAGACGGCCGTGTCTGAGATGGATTGACCCAGTGGCTGTGGCTGTGAGGTCAAGTGTGTCAGAGATGGTGAGGTTGGCTCAGGCTGTGGCAAGTTCAGTCACTGTTCTAGGGTCATAGAGTCAAAGTTGACTAGATGGTATGTAACAACAACAATAGCATCCTACGTGCTGGCTACATAGGTAGGTCATAATTTTCTTTTAAATGGAAGCAAATTACTTTTCCAGATCATTTTACCACTGTGATCCAGGAAAAGTAACTTATATCAGCTGAAATAGGTGCCCTTTGGAATTTTATTGACTTGCCTGGAGGCTCCTATCAGGCCTTCGTATGTGTATGTTCTCAGCTGTTTTCTTCAATGTAACATCAAGCTATCAGCTTCCCTTTATGCTTTCTTCATTTTGCAATTTTTAAAAAATCTTGTATATACACTGCACTAAAACAGATGAGGGAGAGAATAATTTAAAAGCGAGGTATGATAGGTTATTATGGTTATCACAGGAGTCCACAATTAAGATTGCATAGTAGAATGTACTTGGGGTGGTGAGAAGGGTTGCAGGGGAATTGTGTACCAGGGAGGGAGTGTAGGGCTGGGTGGGGAGAGAAGTGCAGCAATGAATGAATGGAAATCCAAAATCTCTGTAAATGTTCATTAAAATTCTTTTAAAAATCTTGTAGTATGTTATGAAATTTAGTAACAGATAGTAATCATTGTCTTCCTTGTTGTAATCTGAACTTCAGAAATAATAACTTTCCCTAATGACACTCCTCAGACTTATTCTAAACACAAACTCTTTTCCAATCGCTTCCTAATTAAATGGCGCAGAATTTAAGGAAATGAAGCAACTATTCTGGCATTTTACTTCTCCTACCAAAATGAAAAGTAGTTGAACATGGTGCATCTTTTCTCAGAAACATGCGCTGTCAGCTCTGCTTCAGATGAATCGTCAGCACTCAAGCCTCTTTAACATGTAGAAGATGTCAGCTGAAACACTAGGGTGGGCCTGATCCAAGCCATTGTATTTTCAATTGCTTCATATACATACAAAGCTGTCATGGAGATGTTCAGCCAGAGTGCTGTTACAGGCCAGGATGGTGAAACTTGACCTCACATAGTCTGGGCATGTTTTGTCAGTCCTTGGAGAAAGACATCATCTTGGGAAATTAGAAGGTCAGCGAACAAGAGGAAGATCCTTGAAAGGTTGACTTGACACAATGACGGCAACATGGGCATGAGGATGACAGAGACCACAAAGAGGGCTCCAGCCAGGACCACGTTTCCACTCCCTGTTCGGGGGTCCCTGAGAGCTGGAGCTCACTGACGCCTAGTTTCTGTGTCGCTTCTCTCTAATGCACAGGTTTTCTATTCTAACTCTTCCCCTCATTGAAACATCTCACAGTCTGAACTTTACTGTGTGATTTCTCTTATCCGTCCTTAACTGATCATCTGCCTCCTCAGGCTTGCCAACTGCATCCTGTCAGATTATTGTTCAGAGTACGAATTAGATGTTCTTAGATCCTCTTTGGCCTGGGAACCTGGGACACAGGGTTAAGGAGAGGCTGCTCCTTCAGGAGAGTGCAGACAGTGTGGGTTCACATGGGTGATATATCAGGGGTGGTGTCTACCTGCCCAACACCGTAGCCACAAGCCACTAGCAGTTATTTAATAAATTTAAATTAATTTAAATATGAGTTGCTTGGTTGTATTGTCACATATCACTTGTCCCGTTATCACATGACGCACATTCCCACCACTACAGGAAGTCCTGTTACCCATGCTGGTGCGGAGGTTCTGAAAAAGCAAAACACTGGGTAGGCTCCCAGAATACTCCTCCCGGACAGTCACAACGAGCCTCAAGGCCCCTCCAACGCATGTCTGTAGACCCCCAGGGAAGACTAAAAGTGGCCAAGTGCTGTGCTCCTAGGATCTAGACTAAGTCAAAGTCACCAGAAATATATCTGTCAGCAGAGCTGGGCTGCCCCGAGGCAGAGCTGACTCCGCAAGGCCACGGTGGTGTGCACGGTCTTCCATCTGCAGGCACTGATGCTAGTACATATATGTCCTCGATGTCAGAAGTCCAAGAGATGAGACCCTGCATTTCCCCCAAATCTCACGGAGAGCAAAGTCCTCACCTGCAGGCCG